GAGGCTGGCCTCGATGCGGGCGGTGACGGTTCATAATGGCATGGTGGCAGGCAAAGCTCCAAAATTGGAGTTCGACAGAGCTGCAATCAAAGCGGGGTGAGGTCGGCCGGAGAGGGGACGTGAAGGCGGAGACGCGAGCACGAGGAATTGATGAGAGGTGCTCGCTCTCGGGCTCACCATGACGCGACACAATGACGACGGAAATAGAGGGAAAAGAAAGAAAAAGAGAGAGGCGGCGCAGCAGGTGGGCTCTCGGCTCGTCCACGCCTTGACGGGATGCGAGCGACAGGAATGGGAGGCCCATGCCTCAGCGCTACGGACAACGTGTGCGTGCATCCGATCGGAGTAGCCTGCATGCCGTAGTGCCATAAATGGCATGGCAACGGCGGCTCGCCCACGTGTGCACGGCAGAGGCGACACGCACAGGGCCGACAACTGCGTAGAGATGCAGCGGACCAGCGCGGACACGATGACCATGCGACGGCAGTGGCAGTGACAGCGTCGCGATGCGAGGAGCATCGACAGTGCGAACGCGATGGCAGCATAGCGTGGCCGTAGCGGCACCCCAGACGGCAACACGATGTAGAGTAACAGCGCGTGGGGCCAGCGGCTCCCTGCGGTCGGCCTCGACCAAGCCCAAGTGGCTCGACCGGTCAAGCGCGGCGACAAGGTTGACCACGCAAGACGCTGTCATGTGCGTGGTGTGGGGAGGCCACGCGGTGACCGTGCACCCGGCGCCAACCAAATCGAGATAGTGACACGCACGAATTTTAAAGCGTTCAACACGATCAAATGGTTGCTTTAGGACCTAAACCATCTTCGCCATATACAAGATGGCATATGAGACTACCAAATCGAGGTATAACACTACCCCACTCCTTAACCCAATCTCTCACAATAAATTGCTAAACATAGCAGTGTCTAACTGTTGACAGACTTGAAAATTTCTAAGTTTTAGAGCTGAATTTGATTTTCATTTGTGATTTCTAAGCTAGTGGAAATATTAGCCACTAATATCATTTTTCGACCATAGGTATTTTATTATCATCTACAAAGTTTATACTTAAAACTTTATTTAAGTATCACATACATGTTCCATAGCATTTTTGCTTAATAAAAATTGGTTTTAAACCCTAAGTGATATAACAAGACTATCGAATCAACTTCCGTTTCACATTCTAGTTAATCGTTTCGAGTTACAGAAATTGATCTACACACTTTATCATATGCATTAACATATAAACATGATGCTCGTGACATATTTTAATAAATGATTTACGGTGTTACACCGAGGGTGTTACAATATGAGCAATGATATATTACATAGTTTTGTATAGCTACCGTTCAACTTTTAAAGTTGTGTCTATGATTATTCATAACATTTTGAAAGTAGGTAGATTATCATTTGGAAAGTATTTAAAACTTGAGTAAAGTGCGCCAACATTCCTCAAACTAATTCGGATGTGTGGTTCCGATCTCGGTCACTAAGGTGGTGTTTACATCCAGGGTGTAAAGTTTTGGGGTGTCACATCGGATGTTAAATAAGGGTGCCGCATGGGGTGTTCGGATACTAATAAAAAACAAATTACAGAATGCGTCAGTAAACCGCGAGACAAATTTATTAAGCCTAATTAATCCGTTATTAGCACATGTGTTACAGTAGCACTTTATTATCAAATCATGAACTAATTAGACTTAAAAGATTCATCTCGCAAAGTAGTCGTAATCTGTGCAATTAGTTATTTTTTAGTCTATATTTAATACTCTATATATTTGTCAAAATATTAAATGTGATAGGCCGTAAAGTGTTGGAGAGGAACTAAATTTGCATCTTTATTTGGATCTTAGAGCTAGTTCAAATGAGTCTACACATGTACCTATATGCTGACAAGGGCCTTGTTTAGATGACATCAAAGTTCTAAGTTTTTTCACTCTCTCTTCATCACATTAATTTTTGGACGTATGTATAGAGCATTAAATGTAGGTAAAAAAAGTAACTAATTGCACAGTTTGGTTGTAAATCACGAGACGAATCTTTTGAGCCTAGTTAGTCCATGATCGAACAAAATTTGTTAAATACAAACAAAACATGCTACAGTGTTCAGATTGTAAAAATTTACAATCTAAACATGCCCAAGGCTATATATGCTGACAAGGCTTATATCTGTTCTATCTCCCTTCTCTCTCAAGCTCTCTCTCTCCCTCGCCTTTCTCTCCCCTGAGTTGAGTATTTGAGTGACAGCGACGGATGTGCGTCCACAAGCCAGCGACGCTCTGAAAGCATCTAGAGCTTTGTTTGGGTTTTCCTTATAATCAATGGTAGCACATGTGTACTAATGTTTTCATGTGAGATATAAAAGATTGAAAGGCACGGGTGTAGTACACATGGAGGCCTTAAGCTACATGAGTATGACGGTGGAGATGGCAAGGTAGCATGTCGACTAATCCTTTCGATTTAAGACTTTAACCTCCTATCAGATTGATATACTTAATCTTTATTTGATATATCAAATTGCGTTCTTCTTCGTGTTTTTGTTTGCGTTCTCGATTCATTCACAGGATAAGCCTATTCCACAAAGTCAATTGTGTTGTGCATGGTAGATAACTAATATCAATGGTGTAATGCATGGTTTTATGTGCCTGAATCGTACTCCCTCTGTTCCAAATTATTTGTCGCTTTTGGTTTCCGTGTCGCAAGTTTGACTCGATTTGTAGAAAAAATCCGCGCAACATTTGAATCTCCAAATAAATTTATTAAAAAAACTAGATTAAAAGATATTTTCAACGATACCAATTATGTACCATAAATATTGATATTTTTTAATATATATTTTATCAAAGTTGTTTCTTAGAAAGCGAAAACGACAGATATTTTGGGACAGAGGAAGTACTTGATCCCCCCTCCCCCTCCCTCCAATCATATATATACTCTCTTTGTCTCAAAAAGAATGCAGTGTTTTACTATCTTATAAGTTTAACAATTATAGATAAAAAGTATAATATCAAAGAAATACAATTAGATTAAGTACGAAGTCTTATTTTCATAACAAATTGATTTGGAGCCATAAACGCACTAGAAACTTGATTAAACGTAATCACTTTAGCTGGCATATAGCCTGTAGTTGCATTCTTTTTAGAACAGAGCTAGTATAATACATGTAAAAAAATCTAGCGTTTCAAACAGGTCTTATCTTGTTCAAATATTAAACCACAAAAGTACGTTTCGTTAGGGCAAGAGTACTCCCTCTGTTCAAAAAATACATTCAAGTTTTTAAAAATTCAAATAGTTTTATTAACTAAATCTATACGAGAAACACTAACATTTATAATAACGAATAGTGTCTTTAGATTCATTTTAGATTCATTGTGGAATATATTTTATTGTTAACTTATTTGGAGGTTTAATATTTACTATTTCTTATAAATTTAGTTAGATTTCGAAATTTCTGAATTGGATTCAAATTTAAATTACGATTTTTTAGGAATGGGAGTACCTCCTGACCGTGTCTCACGTGTCACCCTGCTCCCCTTTGTCTTTGCTCACGTACCACTACCCCAGTCAAAGCGGGGCGGTATCCCCCTACCCCTCACATAGGAATAGGAGCGGACAACAATGGTACCAGCCTACCACTGGCGGTCTGGCGCACACCATCACATCGAACCATTACACTATTATTACAGTGTGCTCTCGCAGTCACCAGGCCCACCCTTTTGGCTTGGCACTTCGGCCCTGTTTGTTTTATGCTGAACTCCAAAAATTCTTTTTCACCTCCAATATTTGGACACATCGTGAAGTAATAAATATGGTAATTATAAAACTAATTATATAACTTGCAGACAAATCTCTTTTAGCCCTTAATTACATGGCTTATCATTTCCACGACGTGGTGCTACAATAAACATATACTAATGATAGATTAAGTAGGCTTAAAAAATTCGTCTCGAAAATTAATCTTCATCTATGTAATTGGTTTTATAATTAATCTATATTTAATGAATCTAAATATTGATATGAATTTTAGAAACGAAAAAAAACTAAACACCCCTTCCTCTCCTCGTTCCTGCCGCTCCGCTCGGGCTCGGCTCCTCGACCTCGAGCGAAGCAATGCCAGCACTCACCGGGACTCGTCGCACACGCAACCACGCGCGTCGTCAGTCAGATGGAGTACAAAAAGCCCGCTGCTCTGTGCTCTCTGTCGCTGCCTGCCACCCTGCGTTTCTCAAAGTACTGATTGAATGTGTGGATTGATGGATGAGCCGGCCTGACACCAAAATTGACGCGCCCTGATCGTATCTTTCCATCGATCCCTCTCCTCCTCGCTATACTAGGAGCTAGGCTCTGATGATCCTATCTTCAGTTTGCACCGCGTCCCCATCCATCCCCTGCTTCCTTCCTTCCCCTTTAACCCCGGCAGCAGACGCGCATGCACGGCGTCGGTCTCGTCTCGCCTCGTCTCCGGTAGCCAAGCTTAGCTCACATCCGTCCGTCCACGGTGCACGGGCGCAGCAAGCCATCCTCCTCGTCGCCGCCGTTCTGATCCCTGCCCTTGCCGGCGTGCCCGATGCATCATCACCAGCCATCTCACGTCTTCAGGTAAGCAAGCCGCAGGGCACAAGGCAACACGTGGTGCCACGTGCGCAGCACCAACAGTGCCTCCTCCTCCTTGTGTCGCTTGCGGCGCGCGAGCGTGTGTCTCCCTCTCCCTTGGACCGGCGCGTCCGTCCGGCTCGCTAACGTGTTGTTGCCTTTGCGCGGCCCCCTCGTGCCGCCGTGCGGCGCGGTGGTTGCATTTGCACTCGCATCGCAGCTGCTGGGTGGAGCAGGGTCCCGGCGGGTACCGCCACGTCGGGGACGGCGCCACCATCCTCCTCCCCGAGCTCCAGCGCAGTAACGCCCTGCCTCGTTCATTTGTTTCCTTCCCTTTTCTTGGATGCGCATGCGCGCGCACTGGCTGTTCTCTCTTCTCATGGCTGGCTGTTGCACGCGCATCGCGGGATTAATGCGATGTGAAGGCCCCAAACCCAGCTCCAAGTCCTCCAGCAGCCTCAGCGCCGCCGCCACCTTCGTGCCGCCGCTCGCCGCCGCGGTGAGTTCACTGAGCTTTTGTTGCATGCCCAAGACGATTCGTTCTCGCGCGGCTTCTCTTGATTGTGAATGAATGATGGAGGCTCTTTTTGTCTCTGTGCAGCATGGAGGAGTAGCGGTCCCGTTTGGCATGGCGCCGCCGGGGGTGGCGACGACGGCGGACGACGCCCGGTTCTGCATGCCGTGGGCGGCCGCGGCGCACTTCGAGAACTGGGGCGACTCCGGCATCGTCGTCACGAGCCCGCTCGCCGAGACGGCTTCCACCGACGTCGACGACGTCAGCGGTGCCAACCACCACGACGCACAGATGGTCTGCTCTGCTCGTCTCTACTCAGCTTCGATCCTGATTCCCGCAGTATGCCTCCTGCCATGAACTCCACCTTATTATATGCTGTGACATGTGATTGCGCCGCCGTTCGTAGGGTGGAGCCATCACGCAGAGCGTCGATGGACACGACAACTCGTTGCCGGTGTGCAAGGTAGAATCAAGGGATCACAAGGTGCGCTATGTCATGTCATGTCCTGTGAACACAGTTCGTTGTGTGGTTTCTGGGCTGATAAACTCGGCTGATGCTGGTCCTATGAGAGAAGAAAACATCGCTGGTTGGCTGATAAGCCCTGACGAACAAGCTTAACAGGCTGAGCGTGGAAAAATTAGAAGCAATATAGGAGTAGCAAATGTGATTGTGGTTTGTGCTGTGTCATGGCAGGCGCAGAGGAGGCTGCGCAAAAAACCATGAGGCAGCCCGGAAAAGCCGGATGAGGAAGAAGAGGTGATCATCCCTTACGGGAAGCTTATGTACATTTTGATTTTGTTATGCATGGCATTCCATCCTGTGTTCTTGCTAACTAAGGCCTGGTTTAGTTCCTAAAATTTTCACCCCAAACTATCGTGATCGAATCTTGAGGCACATGCATAGAGTATTAAATATAGATTTAAAAAAAAACTAATTGCACAGTTTAGTTAGAAATCGATAGGCGAATGTTTTAAGACTAATTAGTCCATGATTAGCCATAAGTGCTACAATAACTAACATGCGCTAACGATGGATTAATTAGACTTAATAAATTCGTCTCGCAGTTTCCAAGCGAGCTATGTAATTAGTTTTTTTTATTAGTATCAGAAAATCCCTTACGACATCCCGAAACATGTGACATCAAAAAATTTCATTTCGTGAACTAAACACAGCCTAAATAGTGGTAACCACTGACCAATACATGCCTACTAAATAAAAAAAAAAGTATCATTCTAGTTATTTTCCCTGATGCATATCAGATAATTCAAGTTCAACAATGCATGTGTCTGTTCTAATCTACAATGGAGGCATGCTGCCTTGGCTTACTGAGTTTTGTCTATAGTTTCTGTATCATGTTAGCCACTTGCAAGATTGTTCAAGCACTGTGCAACTTTGTTCTGTAGGCATACATTGTGGAGCTGGAGAACAGCCGGTCCAAGCTGGCTCACCTTGAGCAGGAGCTTCAGAGGGCAAGGCAGCAGGTGAACTCCTTATCTGTTTTTTTTTTAAGAAAAATGTATATTTTGTCGCTGATTGTATATGGGCTTTGGTATAACTATAATGCAGGGGATGTTCATTGCAAGTGGACGCTCCGGCGATCATGGAGGCTCCACTGGAGGCAATGATCTTTTACATTGCTCAGCTCTTGTCATTTATACATAGCAATTCTGAATTCTGATCCTGTGCAAAGTCTAACTAATCTGTGTCACCTGTTGCATGCAGGCGCGTTGGCGTTCGATCTGGAGTACGCGCGGTGGCTGGACGAGCACCAGCAACACATGAACGACCTCCGGGTGGCCCTGAGCGCGCAGATCGGCGATGACGACCTGGGCGTGCTGGTGGACGGCGTGATGCTGCACTACGACGAGATGTTCCGTCTCAAGGGCGTGGCCACCAGGACGGACGTGTTCCACGTGCTGTCGGGCATGTGGATGAGCCCCGCGGAGCGGTTCTTCATGTGGCTGGGCGGGTTCCGGTCGTCGGAGCTGCTCAAGGTGGTGGCGCGGCAGGTGGAGCCGCAGCTGACGGAGCAGCAGCTGGTGGGCATCTGCAGCCTGCAGCAGTCGCTGCAGCAGGCCGAGGACGCGCTGTCGCAGGGGATGGAGGCCCTGCAGCAGGCGCTCGGGGACACGCTCGCCGCCGCCGCCCCGGCGCTCGGCCCGTCCGCGTCCGCCGCCGACAGCGTCACCAACTACATGGGCCAGATGGCCGTCGCCATGAGCAAGCTCGCCACCGTGGAGAACTTCCTCCGCCAGGCGGACCTGCTGCGGCAGCAGACGCTCAAGCAGGTGCACCGGATCCTGACCACGCGCCAGGCCGCGCGCGCGCTGCTCGTCGTCAGCGACTACTTCTCGCGGCTCCGAGCGCTGAGCTCCCTGTGGCTGACGCGCCCGACGGATTGATTCGTAGTAGCCAGGTGTGGCGTGTCAGTGTCATCATATGAACCGTAGATTGCTCTGACACACTAATTGCGTCCGTCGTGAGATGTAACCATGCGGATTCATCTGAAATCAATCAGAAACGGCGAAGTAAGCTAGTACATGTAATCGTCACTTTGGCGGTGTTTTTGCTAGTAGCTGTTGGAGACTTGGGAGTACAGCAGCTTCTCGGCTAGTGTAGTGTTACGTTCCGGCTTCTGAACATGAAGGAAAACTTGACTTGTGCAACCTTTCGTCCATTTCGTTTCTGAGTTCACTATTTGCCAGGGCGCGATTCCGATCGCGAACGAGCTCCATGCACATGGCCAGGCTTTGCCCACGGCTGCAGGAGCCTGCGGTCTGCAGATGCCCTCGTCATGGCCGGCGATGGCCGCCGGGTCCCGCCGGCCGTTCGCGCGCGGCGGGAGCAGGTATAGGAAATTCGCGTGGGGCGGAGGCAGGCGGCGGGCTTACCGGCGCTGGATGTACGCACTGCGCAGAGCCGCAGAGGCCACGCCTGGCTGCGTGACACTAGCCTGACTGGTGTGGGCGCTCGTGGGCCGTGGTACCAAATAGTGGCCCACGAAGCAAAGAATAGAGTTGATACTTTGTTAAGTTGCACATGATGCTAAACGACATATACATGATCCTTGATCCGGACGAATTCGAGCCTCGGAAATCTTTGAAACGGAGGCAATTAGAGTAAGGGGCTGTTTGGATCTTTTTGTTTGGAGGAATTGAAATCTACTTAATAAATTAGGCTATTTAGTTTAGAATTTGACATTTCATCATTTTTTCAAAGTTCACATATAAGACTATCTAAAATTCATAGGGTGGAAGATAGAAATTGATTCTATTACCATTCTATGTTTCTACTTTGTAACTTATAACATATTTTTCAACTCGTTCCCCTACGGTAGAAATGCAACCCATAAGTATATCTCTCAGATAATCAACAATAATATACAAATATAATCCATATACAACCATATTAGCTTAATTATTTTGTGTCTAAACTATAATTATTAAAATAAATTCAATTCCAAGGATCCAAACGGGACAAGTAATTTCCAATGTCGACTATTTATGTTTAGTAAGTACTCCTCTATAAAATTTCTCTACGAGATCTTATTAATAGTTGTAGCATCAAAGTCGTTAAGAAATTGTTTTGAATACAAATCCAATGGTAAGAATTCTATGGCATACTAGTTCATCAACCTTATTTGCTCATGCTCGAGTGACAGATTTAAGTGACACACATTAAAAGGTTCATGAAGAAATTTGATGTGAGCTAATCAAAAATTGTTTTTTCTTTTCATATATATACCATGCATGTAATTTTTATCCGGTATGATAAACTTTATTTACTACTTACTTTGTATTATTTTCCATTCCATTCATATTTTTCCCATTTTCGCGGCACTTATACGTGTCATTTTGACATGTGTTTAGCTCAAAACTTAGCACGCATTTTGTTGGGTCTTGCAATAAACTATTGCATCTATCAAGACTTCATTAATCTAGACTTTGGCTCCACAAATTAAGTCTAGATGTTTAAACTCGTAAGAAAAGTTCCTCCTCCGCATGTTATGTTGAGCGGTGTGTTGGATGTATAGACGGTACGATGACGGAGCCGGAATAAACACAAATGGGAAGGTGGCGTCGTAATTACTCGCGGTCCATCCGAGGCATCATGCTCACGCGAGACGGAGTCGATATAAGAAGGAGCACCTCGGCGATAGGGACTATTGGATTTTTTTTGCTTAAACAATGGAGACTTTTGGACGGGGGAGTTTGTCTCAAGTATTTTGTATCAAAGCAAACACAGGTAGAGCCCGTTTGAATCCCTAGAACTAGTTAGGTGCTAAAAGTTTGTTGAAAATATGTTTGAATCCTCAACTAATAAGCTCAGCTAATGTCTTACCTACCACCCAGCTATCAGTTAGCTATTAATAAGTTTTTATATCTAACATAGCTAACAGTTAGCTAACAATTACAAAGTACTCCATCAATTCCAAATTATAAGTCATTCCAATGTTTTTTTAGACTCATAGAGAAAATTACAAAGATTTATGACATCAAATATATATACTATGAAAATATATAATTAATAAAGAATCTAACGATACTTATTTAGTATAATAAATATTATTATTTTATTATATAAATTTGGTTAAATTTAAGATGTTAATTTAAGATGTTTTGACTTAAAAATTAGAATAACTTATAATTGGGGACGGATGAAGTAAGTATTAACAGATTTCTCTAACGCAGGGAACAGTTAGCCGGTGGATCATGCTGGCCTAGCTGTGTCGACTAATTGCCTAGATACAAAGATTTTTTTTCGCTAACTGCTCGCTCCAAAGGCTGTGCATGCACACATCCCAATAGGCCCCATGGCCAACAAAAAGAACACGTTGCGAAATCGTGCAGCGGCCAGCTCAAAACCCACTCGCGGCAGGCCGGCAGCGGCGCACGCACGTCCGGGTCAGGCGGAATCCACCTCATCACGTGGACTCGGCAGAATCTCCGTGCGCGGCGCGGTCCAAGATTCTGACCACCCCGCTCCCAAACCCACATCGAATTTACGCACCTTCACCCAATGGCAAAGGGCCCCACATACATCGGTGCCCCACACGTCAGTGCATCTCTACAGATGCACGGCTCGACCCACCGTACGAGCCAAAAGCACCAGCCGCCTTCTTGGTGGGGGCGCCACTAGAGCCGCCAACTAAGACACAGATCCGACGGCCGAGATGCCGTGATTACCCTGCAAAGCCCTAATTAGATTCCCCTTCCCTGCCTAAACCTCCCATTTCGCCGTCCGTGACGCGAGAGACCTCTTCGCATCCCGACGCGTCGCGGCGCTTTTGGGGTCGGAAGCGACACGGGCGCCGGGGCGGGTGGTGGTGCTAGCAGGCAGCAGCAGGCGACGCTAGGCGAGAGCCCGAGCCGGAGCAGGCCACCATGTGCGGCATCCTCGCCGTCCTCGGCGTCGCCGACGTCTCCCTCGCCAAGCGCTCCCGCATCATTGAGCTCTCGCGCAGGTATGGCGCGGCACCCCACTGTCTCGCCGTCCCATCTCCATCTGTGTCTTTTGTGTGGCTTAAACGCGGGCCCGCCCCGCCGCCGCGCCCTGGCCCCGGGCGGGTTATTGGCTTATTGCGGCCGTTTGAGGAGAGGGCGGAGGAAATTTGGTGGCGGGTTGGGATAGTAGAGTACATACAGCACCTTTGGGCAAACGGGATATCTCTGGTTTTTCGAACCCTCTAGTCCACTTGTCGTTTCAATTTATATTAACAGCTGTAAAGGACCAGCGATATGTGGTCAACTTTTGCAAAACGTAGTATCTGTCTCCGAGAATTTAGGAATGAGCTGTGGTGAATGATAGATGCTTAATTTTTCCGAGGGCCCCTGTAGCGCGACAGGGCGTGTCTATGTCGTGAGAGAAATTGGGAGGACCAGATTTTCAAAATGCAACTGGTATCTGCCTACATAGATGTATTTCTGTGAGGTTACAGTCCTTCAAGTGTTCACTTCGAAATGAATATGTGTTTATTCAAGAATAGTAATGGGTGTGTACATGCACGTTTCATCTGCAGAAAATGCATGTTGATGGCTTTAAATGTAAATTGTTTGAATTTGAGTAAAATGTAGCATGTATAGATACACTTGATGTCCAGCAACAGGCTTCTGGGGTTTATCTAGCTAGTGCTTGTGGTGGCAAGCATGGAGGTTTTGGTTCACGATTCCTCTTGTGGAGATTATGATTTCAAACACAAAACATCTCCTTCTAATTGCAAATATAAATTATTGTAAACTTGCGTACATAAATTACAAATTTAGAGGATATGGCTGGGTTGCCTAAAATTTTCTTTGTCAACGATTTATATGACTCATTTAGCAAGTTAGAAGAGGAGTAAAAGAGAAAAGTTGCCTAGAAGTTCCACAGTTGGCCTATGATTAGAGAAAAACTGAGAAGCAGCAGTTTATAGAGGCAATTACTGTGCAGCTTTGGTCCTGCTTCTGTAAGCACACAATTGTAGAGTTACCCTTTTTGAATTTGACTTAATCTTCTTTTAGACTAAATAGCTGTTGATTGTAGAACACAAATTAGTGCCATCTTACTGAAATCTGAAATGAGAGCCAGATGTCTCTTTACTTCAGCGAATATAATTTCTTTGTGCCTTTTTTTTTGTGGCAGAGCGTTCTTAGGAATTACAGGGTGCTTGTTATAAATTTGTTATACACATGCACCCCACTGAAATGAACTTCATAATTTTGTAGGTTACGGCACCGAGGGCCTGATTGGAGCGGTTTGCACTGTCATCAGGATTGCTACCTTGCACACCAGCGGTTGGCTATTATTGATCCTACATCTGGAGACCAGCCGTTGTACAATGAGGACAAAACAGTTGTTGTAACGGTCTGTATCTGGATTAGAAATACAATTTCACTGTATCCACTCATTTCTTTATGCTAACTGCAGAGTTCGCAACAAATTGTTTAATTGTTCTGCCTGTGGTAACTGTCATTTGTTTCAAAAGTCTGTCATGCCCATAAATAGTGATCAAAGGAATCGATCAAAGGATCCCAATACCGTGAAAGAGAAACTTCCCAGATCTAGGGAGGCTTAGCAAATGCCCTCATTGAGCTAAGTGCAACTTAATGTGGCATGATATTAACCCACCAGAAGTCTTGATTTAATTAAATCAACTAGAGGAAATATGCTTTTATTTTTGTATAGTTACTTCACCATTTTATCTTCTGGTTGTCATTTCCAGGTGAACGGAGAGATCTATAACCATGAAGAATTGAAAGCTAAGTTGAAAACTCATGAATTCCAAACTGGCAGTGATTGTGAAGTTATAGCCCATCTTGTAAGTTGCATATCTATACCCATTTAACAGTGGCATAGCTTTTACCAACAATTTCATTATCCATCGAAGCATCACCCTCTGTTATAAAGTTATTTAATCTTGGCA